TTTTTGTCTCCTCCAGCAACCTCCTCACCGAGCTTCCTACTGAAACTCCCGCACCCTGCTCGTCCCCGGGCCGCGCTTTCATTTCTAATTAAAAAGAGAAAAATCGCTCCCCTGAAATACCCCCCTCCTGCAACTTTTCCTCCTCGCCTAAATTATCAGGCTGTGCGGTGTGCTCCTATTTATAGGAGGGTAAAAAGAAATGGGGACGATTCCGTTATGAAAATATTAGGGGCTTTTTTTTTTTTTTCTTTTTTTTTGTTCCCCGCGGGGAGAGGCATCTGCTCCCACGATGAAATGAACCGCGAAGGATTTACGGGGGGTATCAGCGCTGCGTCCATCCCCGGCGCCTCCCGCCTGCCCTAACATCCCCGTTGCGTTTTCTTGCCTTTCCTCAGGGAGAACACGGAAAACAACAACGCGGCCACCAACAAACCGAACCAACTCTCGCCTCTGGATGGGAGCAAACCCCTCATGTCCAGCTCCGAGGAAGAATTTTCTCCTCCCCAAAGCCCGGATCAGAACTCGGTCCTGCTCTTGCAGGGGAACCTCAGCCACGCCAGGAGCTCCGGCTACTCCCTGAGCGGCTTAGCTGCATCCCAGACCCCTCACAGCCTCCAAGGCCACCAGCTCCAGGACTCGCTGCTGGGACCCCTCACGTCCAGCCTGGTGGATCTGGGATCCTAAAGGCCCGCGGCGGGTGGCTGGAGGAACGGGAGAGGAGGTTCTGCTTGGGGACACAGGCTGTGGGTTGTACATAGAGGACAGCACCCGGTTTTACAGCTCACCCGCTGATTTTTGACGGGACTCTCGGCTCTTTCACACAACCCCACATCGGCTCCTGGTCCAGTTCCCTCCCAGCGTCTCCCTCTATCACCATGATTTTTTTTTGATTCTTTTTTTTTTTTTTTTCCCCGCGTAGCCAAAAGCAGCGAGCGGCAGAAACCCTCAGCCCTTCGAGTTCAAAGGACCTGGTCCCAGCGGGAATTACAAAAAAGAAAAAAGAAAAAAAGGAAAAAAAAACCCCAAAAAATAAAACACCAACAACCAAACCCAGCTGGATCCGATTGCACCCAAATAAATCCCAGCCCTGCAGGCGCGGTGGGGCACGGGTGGCCGGTGCATCCCTGCTGCTGCCCAGTCGGGTCCCCGTGGGGCCGGAGAGGAGCTGGGACGGAGGCAGAGGGGAGTGAACCGCTGTACCGAGCCCTGTGGTGTAGCGGGAGGAGGGAGGGAAAGTTACGTTTACATTTTTCATTTTTAGCCTTACCAGAAAGATTTCGATGTAGTTTAAATTAAAAGAAAGAAAAAAAAAAAGGCAAAAGCTGCAGTATTAGAGTTTTAACAAGTGCCTATGTCTTATTGCGGCTGTGAGAGGCGGTTAGCGAGCAAGCTCCCGTGGGCCCGTGCTCCTCCCCGGCTTCCTTCTCCTCCGTGGTGAAATGCATCGATGTGGCTAAAAATTAGGATAATAATAATAAAAAGTTGACGGCAGTTTCCTCCTGAACAAGTATTTCTCGGGCTGTGCCACCGGCTCCACGTTGCCTTCTCCTGCCTGTCCCTGCTCGCCACCTTCCTCCGTCGGCTTGCGGAGAGCCCATGGACGACGCTGTCTGTCTCGAGTATTTGTTACCGAAAATCGCATGTGCTTTCAGGTTTATTTTCTATTGTACCTAAACAGTCTAAATTAAACAACGCTGATGGCAGAACACCCAGGCTGCGCTGTTCTTTGCCGCG